CTTGAGCCTTGCAGAGAACAGGGATGGCATACAGCCCAGGGCTGACTGTAGGACATGGCCCCGAGCAGGAAGCACCGCGGTCGTGCAGAAGGTGCAGCTGAGAGTGCTCCCACCTCTGTGAGCAAAGGGGGTGCTGTCCCCAGCCAGGAAGCTGGCCAGCATCTGGCTCAGGGTGCTGGAGCCGTGTAAGGAGGACAACTCTCCCTCAGGAAGAAGGCCATGGGCAACTGCAGGTGTTTGGTGTCAGACACCAGCAAAGTGATGAGGGTGTTTCACATCCCGGTCACCATGCTGGTCAAGTAAGAGAGGAAGAAGAGATTTGTGTATGGGTAGAGGATCTCCCAAATAGGAAAAAGATGAGCTGGTTCATCGACTGGAGAACCACGGTGTAAATGTCGAGCTTGGGAGAGTGTTTTAGTGATGGACTTGTCAGCACTAAGGTAAAGTTGCCTGACCTGGGTTACACGTCCCAGAGTAGTGTCAGGCACAATGCAATTCTTTTTGCCTTCTGCATCTATAGCACAGCAGGCAGGACTTTGCCCTACTCTATTGACTGGGCAGGTCTTTTCACATTACTCAATTTAGGTTTCCATGGCTGGAAGGGGCAATTTCTCAAAAGAGGCCAAGCTCATGGGTACAGCTACAGCCACTTGAAGAAGTTTTTTTTTTTTCAGTTTTCATCCTAAATTTGCCACACAAGACCCAAGAGAATCATGAAAGTCCAGGTGTCTACTGATATTCAAACTGAATTTCTCAGATTGCAGAAGCCATTTCTATTTTAATACTTTATTTTATTTTATTTTATTTTATTTTATTTTATTTTATTTTATTTTATTTTATATTTTAAATTTTATTTTTTTGAAGGAATCTGATTTGTCTTACAAAGGGTTTCATGTGTGGGCTGGGCTGCAGTTACAGGGATAAAGACCACTGCTGGCAGTGGAGGAGTCAGACCTCTATACTCTGTTTTTCCGCCTGATGCAGGTCTCCAAAGAACTCACGCTGGATGAATAGCAATAGGAGAATGATTCTCAAAATGCAGAAAAAATCACTCTTTAAAAACAGAAAATATTTTTTATTAGCTGCTTTATGAAATATTCTTCCTTAAGAATGCCATGCAAGATCTGCAATTAGCTGCACAAGGCATGAAGGCTTGAAGAAAACTATGGAAGAGATGTTAGGAGTTTCTGCATTTTAATGAGTTCCATGGTGCATTTTGGTGCTGCGTCGATGAGGCTCAGGTACTGAGAGGAGAGTGATGTAACCACTTGAGCAAGTAAAGTCAGAAGGAAAAGTTGAAGTGACTTGGAGTATTAATGGGCCCCACAGAGAGCTGTTACTAACAAAGCCTCCCCAGGGCTTTGTTAGGGCAAATAATTGGAGGCCATGATTACAGACAGGTAAAGCACTGTGCTGAGAAAAGTCTTGGTTGGATTTGGTGAAGACAAGGTCCAAGGCCTGACCCCAGCCACTGCGAGGGGAGATACTGCACTCCCACGTTTAGATGTAGAGCTTAGGGATATGGTTTAGTGGGGACTGTTAGTGTTAGGTCAGAGGTTGGACTCGATGATCTTGAGGTCTCTTCCAACCTAGAAATTCTGTGATTCTGTGTGTGATTCTGTCTGGCTCAGGACTTTTCTTGGGGGTCTGAGGAATGTGGTGGACAGTGTGATGCCATGAGAAGAACACTGGTATGACACCACCCTGCCTCTGCACAGGGTTGCAAGGAATTAAACACTGCAATGACTTTATCTCATCTCCTCATAAGCTCTAGCTAAAGTGACAGGGCTGTTGGGTCCTTCCGTTCTTGCCAGCACACTCTGCTTTCTCCTCTGCAGGATTTAATATGCTGTCCCACACTTTGTCCTATTTCCTTGAAGTCTGCAGACACCCATCTCTGTTTACCACCTTGCTCTCATCCCAGCATTTCCATCATTTCACCAACGTCTCATCAACCCTCACCAGCTGTTCCTTGAAAAACGAAGCTAAGGTCAGATCATAGACACTCACCAGCACCATCCAAGGCATGGGCCCGCTGCTGGCCTTGCAGCCTCTTGGCTAGACACAGACAAGCCTTGTTCCTCCTGCTGCCCGCTCATGGACTCAAGCAGAAGGGACGGGACAACCCATCTGGGGGCCTTCTTTCTGTCTGGGTCCTCCTGGGTGTGTAGGCAGAGGGGATCCCCCAGTCAGCATGCCAAGCAGGTGCCTTCTGCTGGCCTAGCAGGGCCACTGCCAGATGTCAGCCCAAAAGTGCAGATCCCAGGTCTATGTCAAGGCTGACCTGCCACCTACTTCAGGCAGAAGTGACCTCCCAGTCCCTTTCTGTGACACGTTCCTGCTGCTGCCCTATCAAGTGCAGAGACAGAAGTGTTCTCACAGTCACAACCACAGTCACATTCCTGCTGCTGGGGCAGGAGATCCTGAGACAGAGCTTAGCTCCTCAGAGCATTCCCATCCATCTCCTCTTTGTGGCCCACAGGCTGATCAGATCCATGACCCCTCACATTCAGCTTTGTATGCCATGTAACTGCAGAGCAACCTCTTGGTTCCTACCCTGCCCCATGGGCCTAGCACCTTAAGTGCTTGGGGTAAGTGCCAAGCACCTTAAGTGCTTAAGATAAGGGTTAGAAAAAGGGCTGAATGTGAAGAAGTGAATGCAAAGGAATCAAGGCTTTGGGTCTTAGCCATTCATGTATGGGGTTAGGGACTAAGGCTCAGCTTTCTGTGATAGAGATTAATCAAATGTGTAGTGGAAGGGTTTGGTGTTTGGCTTGTGGTGTCAGGTCTGTGGTTAGGGTATGTACAAGTTCTTTGGTTTTGTTTAGGTCTGCAAGAAATCTAGGGCTAAATAGAGTGTGTTAATCATAGTGTTAAGGGCAGGGATCAGGGTGAGCAAGAGACTATGGGTGATGTAATGAGGCTGTGGACTAGTTTTGGCTTCAAGGGATCTTGTGGTCAAATATTAGAGCAAAGGATTCCTGTCAGGGTGTGGAGTAGCATTTAGCTTTATGGATTAACGTTACAGGTTAAAATAGGGCAAGGGCCTCACACGACTGCCTTAAGTCTGCTTTATGGTAGGATCAACATTACCTGAACATTCTTACCTCTGCAAAATCATTAGCTTCTGCTGTCCACGCTCCTTAGCCCTCCCACAAATCTCACATCTCTGTTGGCCAGGCTTCTCCTGACTTCCCCATATCAGTCATCTTCTTAGGGGAAGTTTGGAGAACCAGCATGGAGAAGGAGAGAAACGTCTGTAGGAGCACCGTGCACAATGTGCCCAGCAGTTCTGCATCACCACAGAAGCAGGCCTGAAGGATGAGTTTAGGCAAAAGCTGATACCTCTGATATGACAACACCTATTCAAGACCTCTTCCTCTATGCGGCCTACCAGGTACTTAGAAAGAGGGGATCTGACAAACTGTGTGCAGAGCAGGTGCATCTGCTGTCCTGTCATGGAGACTAGTAGATGTGGGCCTAAAGGCACAGACCCCAGCCAGAAGTCAAGGGTTGAGCTGTCGGCTACTTCAGAAAGAAGTCAACTCCCAGCCACTTAACAGCCATTAGCTTCCTACTGGGCTTACAGCTTCTGAGGCATCTCTGCCATCATAATACCAGACCTACAAAAAAAAACCCTTTTTGGGCTAGGACCTGCCCAGGTAGAAATGATCTGTTTTTCGTCCTTCAAGCCTGCTGGGCTCCCAGCCTCTCTGACACTCAGGAGCCAGTTCCGTGCCAGTCCTGTGAGGTGCTAGGGCAGGAGGGACCTTGCAGGCAATATTCCAGCCCTGTGCCTGTTGGCGGTCTCTCAGCTCCCTGTGCACACTGAAGATCATGTTTGTATCCAGAAGCCATGATCCTGAAGCTGGCCTAGCAGACATTCAGGGGAAGCACCCTCCCAGCCCCAGCCTAAACCCCAGCCCCAGCCCCAGCTGGCAGCGTTGCTCTGCAGAGCGAGGGGGCTGTGGTGCCAGGGGCAAGGAGGCACTCTGCAGTGCCGTGCTGGGCAGGCTGGGAGGCAGACCCAGCTCCTGGGGTCACTGCCATTGCCCCAGGGCTGCAAGGAATCACTCGCTATGCTCCTTTGCTGGGGCTGCTGCGTGCCCTGGGGCTGCTGAGCTCTCCTCTGCCTGCTCACACCAGACCGAGCACTTGAGCTCTGCTCATTCCACCTCGGAGGAGATCCCCCCTTAGGAGGGAAATGCTGCAGTGGAGGCCAGCTGTGCCACTGCCATGTCCACTGCCTGTTCCTGCCTGCAGTCCCAGCGCAGCCCCACAGCAGCACTGGCACCAAGCTCCAGGAGCAGCCGGGCCTGACCCCACCAGCAGCGCTCAGCAGGAGAGGCACGTGCTTTGCTGGAGGCACCGAGTACAAAACTGCCACCAACTAGTCCAGGGATGGGGAGGAGACTGAGGGGGGCTTCAGGCAGGCAACCATGACAGGCCTGAGGGAGACGGACACCATGACCTGGTGAGGGAGGCTTGTGGAAAAGGCTTTGTGCCAGCCCTGCTATAGAGACGACAGGTCTGTCACCTAGATCCACATGGTGTAATCCAAATACACTGCTCCTAACCGTGGCAGCTGGACTCTTGGTCCTGAGCCCCTCCTGTATGCTGGGGCTGCTCCCCCAGCTCCAGAGTAGATGGGAAGAAAAGGAAACTGAGACCAATGAATTTTTGATAACATCTTTATTGTCTTTCTCTACCAAGGAAGCCTGGTTCTGTATGTACATTAGATGATGTGGTCAAACCTAACACAAGAAGTAACATTCAGAATGCTAAGAATGAGATTATTAAAACAAAATGAAATATTGTTCAAATACTAACAGAGAAAAATAATTTTAAAAATGTTGTGTGATTTTCCCAAATATCCTTTGATTTCTGTTGGGATTCTTATTAATGACAATGTTATGATAACACTAGTAACGATAAAAATGATATGATATAATGTGAATCAAAATATTTGCATATTATTAAGAATACATCTTCTGAAAGCATCATGGATGCTTAAGAATCGTGTATGGAAACAGTTTCCTCACTGCATCCTTGAGATCCTTGTTCCTCATGCTGTAGATGAGGGGGTTCACTGCTGGCGGCACCACCGAGTACAGAAGTGCAACGACCAGGTCCAGGGATGGAGAGGAAATGGAGGGGGGCCTCAGGTAGGAAAATATGCCAGTGCTAAGAAACAGGGAGACCACAGCCAAGTGAGGGAGGCATGTGGAAAAGGCTTTGTGCCGAGCCTGCTCAGAGGGCATCCTCAGCACTTCCCTGAAGATCTGCATGTAGGAGAAAACAATGAAAACAAAACAACCAAGGACTAAAGAAACACTAAACAGAACTGCCCCAACTTCCCTGAGGTAGGCATTTGAGCAGGAGAGCTTGAGGATCTGGGGGATTTCACAGAAGAACTGGTCCACAGCATTGCCATGGCAGAGGGGCAGGGAAAATGTGTTGTCTGTGTGCAGGGCAGCATTGAGAAAGCCACTGCCCCAGGCAGCTGCTGCCATCTGGGCACAAGCTCTGCTGCCCAGGAGGCTCCCGTAGTGCAGGGGCTTGCAGATGGCAACATAGCGGTCGTAAGCCATGATAGTAAGGTTATAATACTCTGCTGATATGAAGAAGAGAAAGAAAAAGACCTGTGCAGCACAGCCTTGATAGGAGATGGCCCTGGTGTCCCAGAGGGCATTGGCCATGGCTTTGGGCAGAGTGGTGGAGATGCAGCCCAGGTCGAGGAGGGCGAGGTTGAGGAGGAAGAAGTACATGGGGGTGTGGAGGCGGTGGTGGCAGGCTACGGCGCTGAGGATGAGGCCGTTGCCCAGGAGGGCAGCCAGGTAGATGCCCAGGAAGAGCGCGAAGTGCAGGAGCTGCAGCTCGCGTGTGTCTGCGAATGCCAGCAGAAGGAACTCACTCACAGAGCTGCTGTTGGGCATTTCCTGCTTCTGGGCATGGGGTTCTGCCCAAGGAAAAGAAAAACACTGAGTGTTTATCAGAGTTATCTTAACAGAGTTATCTTACAAAATAATAATAAAAAAAATCTATTTGTCTTTTATGCCTTCATTTCTCAGTTCAGAGGAAAAATCATTCAATTTTTCATTTAATCCCTCCCAAATGATTCTTCACTTCCATTCATACTTTTGGCAGGTCCCTTTCGTGAGTTCTGGCTACTGCTGCTAGAGGGTGTCACTGAGAGCAGGGGACTTTCTGTGGGCAATGTGGGAGTCAGTCCTGCCCAAAGTAAGTGGTAAAGATCATGTAGTGATTTTTCTTTTGTCTCTTTTGTGCTAGCAGCCCCACTGTACTCAAAGTAAATCCTTGTGTGTCATCAAAGTGGCGATATCTTCAGTGCAGTGTCCTTCAGAGAGCACATTGAGTCTGTCTGTTAGTCCTAGTGTCAACTGCCCTGTGCTGGTGTCTCTTTGACCTACGGGACAATTGCACTCCTATGTTTGCCTGAAACAAACCAGGACACTGCTGAGAGCAGAGACATCCAGGCTCAAAGTGCCCATCTCCACACCCCTAAACCAGTCCCTGTACTCCCCTTCCTCCAAGCACACCGAGGGCTCACTCCATGGGCATCTAAACCCCCATCCTCAGCCAGCCTGGGAACAAGACCAGCAGCACAACGGCCAGCTGGAGAAGCCAGGAGGAATGCCAGCGTGCTGCTGCCAGGGGAGGCAAGGCCAGGGAGGGACAGACGGACACTCAGCAGACCCTCCTGTGCTGCAGCTCTGCCTGAAGATGAGGCAGCTCCTGCTCATTACAGGTGATCTGTGCTCATCTCAAGCAAGGAGGGAGTTCTCAAAGACAGGGCACTGGGCATCATAGGGTTTTCAGCTCCTTAATATCAGCTAGAATAAAACATGTGAGGACCACAAGGATGATGTTGGTGCAGTCTGTGGGCTGAGGTGTGGGAAGGGACTTTATGAAGTTCATTGATGAAATATTGATCCCTCACTGCAATGCTCTAGCAGTCTCAGCCTGCAGTAGAAGTCTGACCACCTATTACCATGAAACTGGCATCCACTCTAACACAAGCACAGGCTACAGAAAATGTCTTGCCTTTCGGATCGCCCCAGCCTTGGTCTTACTGTTGAAAATTCCAATCATAAATGCCATTCTCTAAAGCGTTTTCTACTCCTTCATGGAGAAACAAAGAGACCCATCCTGACAGATGCTATCAGCCATGTGATGTGCCAGCTGTACAAGACTCCTCTGGCAACCCCACCTGCATGGCCCTGCTGCCAGAGCCTCACGGTGTCAGGAGCCTGCAGATGTGTCCTGCCACACGCTGCCCTCTGTTGTTGCGCTCCTCAGTGCCTCCAAGCCCTCTCTCCTTCTGTCCTCTCTGTGTGCCAGCTGCGGTCAGAGCCCCCAGCCCTGCTGCGCTGTGCAGAGGAGCTGCTCCTGGGCACAGCTGGCTCTCTGCACCAGGGCCCTCTTGCCACGAGCTCTCTCTGTCCCATGAGCCCGGCCCAGCTCAGCAGCACAGCACCAGCCCAAGGCACTGCAATCACCCCTCTGGGGGCTTTGCTGATGAGCCCACGAACCTCAGGCACTCAGAGACAATTGAAGACATCTCTCCAGAAGTGCAAGTCAGAGGCAAGTTTCCTGCAATGTCCCCCTGAGGGCCAGCACTGACACAGCCTCCCTTGGAGCTCGTTAGAGCAGAACCCTGGAGGCAGTGAGGACAAGGAGACAAAGGCAATGTGAAGGTGACACTGATGTGTGGACAAACTGGATGTGTGTCACCAAGCACAAGGGCCAGGACTTGACCCCAAGTGCTTCGGAAGGGAGATCCTTTCCTTGACAGGTTGCTCAGGGCTCTTTGTGGGGCAGTAGGAGATGGGGATGTGCATTGCCAAGTGCAGGAGAATGGTACGACCCCTGCCTGGTTCTTAGTTGAGGGCAAGGGGGCAATGAGGCCATAGTGTTTTAAAGATCATCTGTCTCCTGCTAGGTCTCAGTGACAGAGACAGCAGCCATAGCTATGGGCACAAAGACATGGTCCTGTTGGGACTTTCAGCCTTGTCACAACCCTCTACCCTGTCTATACATGGCTATCCTAGGGACTTCGAGACCTCCACATCTTTTCTTTTTGGTTGTAGACCCTTATCTCTGTGGTGTTACAGAAGATCTGAGCTGTCTGATAACTCAGATCTTCTTGGTGGTCATGCTCCTCGTAAGGCAGCTCTGTAGGAAGCTGGCCTGCTTCCTCGTGAGGAGGCACCACTGCTCGTATGGCATCCCTCCTTGTACCCAGGCCCTCTTCCTCCTGCCCACTACTCACTCAACAAGGTCCCAGTCTGCCCTGATGGGTGGGGTTCCTCTTCCTCTGGTACAGGACTGGGCTCTTCTCCACGTGAAAGTCAAGAGTTTTCTGAAGTCAAAATCCTGCAGTTTCTCAAGGTTCACCCACAGTGATGCTCCATTCTATCAGCTGTTAATGTCAGCAGTCAGATGGTTCAACCTTCATGTGACTGTGCTATCTCTGACCAGACATCAGCACAGCAAGAGTTGCAGGGAAACTTGGATAATTCAGGAGTAACCAGTTGAATGGAATTGCAGCACAATCACAGAAGGGCAGGGGATGGAATGCTGTCAGGTTCCACATTTGCTGCGCTTTCTTCTCATGCATGCTGTCAGTTTGTCTGGAGCTGTGTCCTGAATGTTATGGGGCTGTGCAGCTCAAAATTAAACAGGCCAAAGCCCATCTGGAGCTCAATCCATCTATTACTGTCAAAGACAATAAAAATAAATAAATAAATAAATAAATAAATAAATAAATAAATAAATAAATAAATAAAAATACTTTAAATGAAGGAAGATTAGGGAGAATCATAATGCTTTATTGGAATTTGGGGGAAAAATCCTGGTGACAAGGGATGAGACACTTAATGTCTTCTTTGCCTCTGTCACTAGCAGCAAGACCAGTTGTTCCCCTGGATATTTCCTCCTCCTCATGGCCGGTGCCAACCTTCCATTGCACACTTTGTGGCATTTTTTTCTCTCCTGCTCTTTCCTACTACCAAAGAAAACTCCATCAGGGTGGAAACCACTCCTGAAGTAGGCATCCCAACCCAGCAGGCTCCTTGCAGCCTCTCAGCTAAGCAGACACAAGTCACCTCAGCAGCAGCTTCCAAGCCATGGGCCTGCTGCTGGCCTTGCAGCTTCTTGGCTACACACAGCCAAGCCTTGTGCCTGCTGCTGTGCAGTCATGGACTCAAGCAGAAGGGACAGGACAACCCATCTGGGGGCCTTCTTTCTGCCTGGGTCCTCCTGGGTCTGGAGGCAGAGGGGATGCCACAGTCAGCATGCCAAGCAGGTGCCTTCTGCTGGCCTAGCAGGGCCACTGCCAGATGTCAGCCCAAAAGTGCAGATCCCAGGGAGAAGTCAAGGGTGACCTGCCACCTCCAGACTAAATTGACTTCATAGCCCCTTTATGTGACATGTTCCTGCTGCTGCCCTATCAAGTGCAGAGACAGAAGTGACCTCCCAGTCCCTTTCCATGACACGTTCCTGCTGCTCTATCAATGGCAGAGACAGAAGTGACCTCACAGTCCCTGCCACAGTCACATTCCTCCTGCTGGGGCTGGAGAACCTGAGGTAGAGCTGAGCTTTCTCTAGCCCATTCGGTATCTCTTTTTCACTTTCTGGGTTAGAGATTAAGCCAAGTTTTAGTAGGAGTTTTTGGTGTTCTGCTTGTGCTGTTACGTCTGTGGTTAAGGTATGGACAAGCTCTGTGGTTCACGGGTGTTTTTTGTCTGTCAAGGAGTCTAGGGTTAAATAAGGCATTTTAATGTTAGTGTTAAGTGAAAGGATTATGGTTATCAAGAGAGAAAATTGATTTCTTTCAGTTTGTTGTAGTAGCATTTAGGTTTATTTAGCGTTAAATTTACTGGCTCAAGTAAGGTAAGGGCCATATATGACTTTTTTAAGTCAGCCTTACTGTACTACCGGCATTGCATGAATGCTCTTACCTGTATGAAATCATTAATTTCTTCTGGCCATGCTCCTCTTACCACTCCAAAATCTCATGTCGCTTGTTCAGGCTGGTCCTCACCTCCCCATATTTTACTGGGATCAGCTTTCTGATGACATTTGCCATCTCAGTGTATCTGTCTCACCTCTGTTGGCTCCTCCATTCCTGAGAAGGAAGTGGCATTGTGGTCAGGACGGAAAAGGACACAAAAATCTTTAGGCGCATCCTGAGCAATGTGCCCATCAGCTCTGCACCTCCACAAAATCATGCTTCCGACCTACAAGTTTTGTTTCCCAAGTGGCTTCTGTGGATCCAGGGTTACTTTTCCCAGGCCCTCTCACATGTTTCAGTTTTGGATGTGTAGGGATGGGATAAGGAAAGCCAAGGCACAGATGGAATTCAGCTTATCTGAGGATGAAAAGCATAACAGGAAGAGATCCTATATGTACTTTGCTCAGAAAAGAAAGGCCAAGGAGAGCGTACCCCATCTGATGGATGAGAAGAGTGAACTGGTAATGACAGACATGGAGAAGACTAATGGACTCAACATCTTCTTTTCTTCAGTCTTCCCTGCCAGTCAGGCTTCCCAAGTCTTTCATTCCCTGA